TAATAATAATAATAATAACAATAATAACAATAACAATAATAATAATAATAATAATAATCTTGTTAAGGGCCTTGCTCAGGGGCAAACCTCCCACCCAAACTTTGTGTGCTGGTCCAGGAATTCGAACCTATGACCTCCAAAGCAAAGGGTCGCCCTCTCTAACCTCTGCTCCATCACTTTCCTCGCATTACAGATTTATAAAAAAGCCAAGTGTGCTATGATCTGCACTTTGGAGCCTCTACAGAAACAGTCATTCCCAAAGACAGCAGGACAAAAGCAACACAGGAGAAATAAGATGTGATGAATGATGAATATTCACTGACATGGTATGGCACTGTACTCAGCATTTTGACTCTTTTTTTTTTGCTCAGGTATTCTTGTTTAAAAAAACTGTTTTATATTCGAGTAGAAAGCAAAACATTTGTTATATTTTACGTTAAAGAATCTACGCTCAGGATGCATTGATGATGAAACAGGATCCCATTTCTACGCATTGAAAGTCTAAAGATTCCCGCCTGTAACACACATTCCTCAACACCAGTCAGTTTTATTATCCTGACAACCTCCAGTAAAATCACATTCAGTAAGTGGCACTTTCACTTAAAAGTGAATTACACAACTTGATTGAATCGAAGGCTTGCAACAAGCTAAAGGAAAATCTACACCCAGCAATTACTGTGGCATGTTGCACAATCATCACATTCTCACAGTGTTGAAATTTCCTGTGACAGGTTTACAACCATATTTATCAATCTAAACACACCCATCACACACACACACACACACCGCTCTGGTCACCTACATGACTGCTTGGGTCCACGAAGCCGCTGTTGAAGGGGGCGTCTCCGTAGGATTTCTGCAACAGGGGCAGCACAGCTCTGGCGTACAGCTGCCACCACCTGAGCAGGAAGTCAGGGTGCATCTGGCACTGGTCGGGCGGCACAGAGTGACCTTTGACCTCACCTCTCTGGGYATCGTAGGAGTAGTTCCATGGCTTTACTTTGCCCAGGAAGTGAACAACTTTTGCGTTATGGCCGTACCTGTACAAAAGAGAACATCCTTTATTATTAGCGTAGTCATTGTTACACATCATTACACTGTAATCACCAGAGGGCTTTCTATTGTGAAACTCAGTTCAACAAGTTTGCTCATAGTGAGACAGTCAAACTTAATAATTACATATTGTGTTGTCTTTAAGCAGTTTATACCTGTGGTTCCCAAACTTTCAGCTGTTGTTCTTTAAATCAGAACTCAGAGGCTTGTGACCCCTACTATTGTTGGAAGAATTTATAAAAACATTGATAAATCTTAAAAGAGCTTTAATAACCATCATGCCATGTTTTATTACATAACAGTTAAAGCCAAATTATCCATAGGCAGTCACTTTTTAAGCTAATTTATTTTCTATAGATCTTAAATCACATGTTTTCATGACAAATGTATGTACCTATCCCAACTTTGACCTCTGAGGGCTGTGTGAATGTAGAATATCCTGTCAACTAATCAAGCATCTACGCAAGTAAAGTTTTATAACATGCAGCACAGTAAAAGGCTGCCTTTTAAAAAACTATATATTCTTTCTAAAACACTGATCTGGTGTCTTTGATTAGACCTAACCAAACTAGAAGCAAGTCACTTAACTGTCTTGCTGGAACACAGCGGGTAATATAAGTATTGAACACGTCACCATTTTTCTCAGTAAATATATTACTAGAAGTGCTAATG